TTTATCCCTCGGTTCTTGTGAGGCGCCAATTTTGTACTTCGAATTAGCCCCCTTGTACCTCGCTGGGTGGGCTGGCCTTTTGGGCCATACCAATAGCCCAGACACCTTCTCCGTGCTGAATATATATATTCTGCCCGAGTATTTTGTCTTGTTTCGTCTTCAGGGAGTCTGGGGACGCTACAGGGACATATCTGCTAATAACTATAAGTAAAAACTAAACAGTAGATATTGATTTTCAGGAGGGAATTCCAACAAGATAGGAGAAGCACCTTGCTAGGACAAAACAGAAGATTTAATATATACTTTTTGTAGCTTAAGAAACAGACTGTAAAAGGGTAATATTTGAAGCACAATGTAGGCCAAATGATATAGAATACAATGTCCAGAAAAGAGCCATTAGAAATCTAAAAATTAAAATTAAAGGTAAATAAATGCATTGGTTCTAGTCATTACACTGCAGTACTTGGGTAGTTTGTGGAACTTTGTGTTTGGCTGCGTGAATATACTCCCGCTAAGCATCAATACAATCAGGCCATGTTAGTAGCCACTCAACTGTTCCACATATTAGTAGTATACTTTCCGCTGTAACAGCACGGCTATTTAAGAATTCGAGGAGAACTAGGGGCTCTGTAACGCCTTAAGAATGTATATTCTTAATTATCTATTAGCTTAAAGCAGGCGTAATTTTTAATTGTAGCCAAATTTTATGTTTTTTAAAAGTTTTAACACATAAACATTAAAAATCAACAATCGATTACACGAATTTGTTTTATTACCTCCGGTCTGGCCCCGCTTTACGAATGTGGTGTTTCACTAAGCGCCACTTGAGCCCATAGTCAAGTAATACATATAACATTAATCGAATCATTGCTTTCGTTACAACTGAAATTTTACTTGTTTTGTGCTTTCGCTGTAATGTTTTCTGTCTCTTCGCCATGTCATAAGCTCCTCTTCCTCTGTGTTCCATCACGAAGTAAAAAGTACTACCCGGGATGGCGTGATCCATTCAGCCTCACAGACTACGACAACCTAAGTAGGGGGTACCCTTCTGTTATGGACCAGTGGGAGGCTGAATGGTCATCCACCAAGGCCGTTCCCTGTGAATTGAAAGCATTTGATATAAACAGATTCCCTCACCATCTTATTGCTCGAAATAGACGCATCCATCTACCAGTGAAATATGACCACGAGCAACGACCAGCTTACCAGAGGAGACTGTTTGGCATTTATGGTCTTTCAAGCGGCGTTAACCCATGTGAATTATTCGACTCATATGAGTATTTGGCGAGGGAAAGGGAAATAAAAAAGAGACTTGAGCCAGATATTGAAGAGTTCAAACAAAGGCGGATTGAAGCCAACGCGGCGAAAGCCAAGGTGGAGAAAGAGAGGTATGGATTTTCCGGCACTATTTCCTGTTCTTGTTTAGCCTTAAATCAACTACAAGGTTTTCATGGTATTTCAGTATTTTATCGTCAGGTTTGGTTCTAATGTACGGAATTTTCACTCCCTTTTCTTGGTAAAGGATCCGCAAAATCACAGAGAATCTGGAGCGTTTGCCTGAAATCTTGGAGAAGTATCGGGCCAATCAGGAGAAGAAGGCACAAGCGGCTCAGGTGCAGGAAGAGAAGAGGAGACAACTTCTGGAAGAGGCAAGTTTTTTCTTTAATTTTACGTTCAACATTGTTTATGAGTTGGACCTCAGAATAATTAAATTACGTAAAATTTTTCAGGCTAAAGACACTGGCTAATCCTCTTGGTCTAGTTGTACACACTGTTAATCCCATTATTTGGGGCCTTGTTTGGCTATACTCCGGATTGCGTATCATTTTTATATCCTTTTAAACCCAACCTCTTTATCTGGAAAATTCTTATAAATAAAGTGGTTGCATGCAAATACACTTTAAGGTGAATGATATTAATCTCAAGCTTTTATCTGCTGTGAAGTAGCAAAGGGTGGGAAGCTATTTCAGCCTTATTTCAACGCTTTTGGTGTCTTTCCACTTATACTTTGTACCAGGAGCGGTGAATTGTGTATGATTATTGGTATGGATTAGCGTTTCGTTTAGACCACACCTCAAAAACTTTACTAGACCTTTGAGCAAGATTGCTTCATTGACTCCACTTTCAACCGCTCCCAAATAATGAGGCCCCTTTTTTGTTATATACATTTGCTTTGTCTAAAAATTTCATTGTTAGTTCTGCCTTTGATCTTTAAAGCCCATAACTTTGTGTAAGTAGTATTTGTGGACTAGAAATTTTTGTTCGTATGTGTCCTTGGCTTTACCCAGAAGCATGAGTACTCTGAAAATCATAAAAGTCGTTTAAACACTTGATCTTAATCTGCATTTCGGCTCAAGCATACATAGTAGTTTTCAGGTTCCTAGTCGAAAGTTTATTTCTATATCCTAATTTCTTTTGTTTCCAAAAGAAATAAGCTTGCCATACTGCAAATAAATCCCAGTCCTGATATTGCCGCGCTAATAAAGTAGTGTCTTTTTGGAGTTAAGGGGACTCCAATCCACTCCATGCCGTGTTTCTGCTTGTTCGCCTACAATTTCTACTTTTTAAATTGTGAACCTTTACAAATTGCTTGCAGTGTTAGTTTGACATGGGGTGTTTGTAGTCGCCAAGCGCTGGATTTACAAAACAGGATTGAATTTGGTGAATACAAAATCATCCCTCACAAATGTGTTGTGTGCTTTTGGCCCATTTACACTTCTTCATTCATGGTGGTAGGTATTTTCTAAATTGTAGGCTCGGGATCGATTCGGCTACTACGTAGACCACCGAGATCCGAAGTTCCTGAAACTGGTCGAAGAGAAGCACGAGGAGGCGAGATTAGCAAAAAAGGCTTCAAAGAAGAAGTAGCTGCCCGTCCTTTTGATTGTAGAAATTCTATCTGTATCAAATAGATTTTACTACCACGCATGGATACGGTCGTCGGTCTGTGTGGAGGGAAGGTGGGGGACACACGAGGTTGCTGTGCCGGTAGGCGACTGTGATAGGTGGTGTAATACGATAGTGGTTTATCCCTCGGTTCTGGTGAGGCGCCACTTTTGTACTTCGAATTAGCCCCCTTGTACCTCGCTGGGTGGGCTGCCCTTTTGGGTTATGCCAATAGCCCAGACACCTTCTCCGTGCTGAATATATATATTCCGCCCGAGTATTGTGTCTTCTTTCGTCTTCAGGGAGTCTCGGGACGCTACAGTGGGCGCTGGTGCTCTGCTGATGACTGGGTTGCCGTGCATGCTGGAGTTTTCGGGACAGAAGACATGGTGGTTGATAGCTGTTCAGTCTCTGGGGTATAGACACTCATTGTGGTAGAAACGGCTTCAGCTCAAGTATGTGTTCGATGTGGCTTGAAGGTTCAGCATTTAGATGGGGTTTTCCTTTGGGCTGCTCCCTTGGCCATTTCAACGCACTTGTATTCACGATACGGAAGCGCAATGTGTGTACATTTATATGCTGGTTTTTATTTAGGTGTAGCAACTTTATGAATAATAGAAATCGGTGTCAAAAAAACTTAATTAACTGTACTAGTTGCCAACAAACTAGGATGCAAATATTGTTGATGATGCCGAAAACGTGTGAAGCTGGATTGGCGGTAATTTGATTTTTAAAGTACGGTGCCGTCTTTGGGGCGCATGGATGGTAGTCCGCTCAAGCACGAAAGGTGAGCGGGGTGTTACACTAATATTTTTTAAACTTCAATTTCACCAAATTAATTGCTTGAGTTTTACCGATAGTAAGTTCATAGGAATTGCGGTCGCACTTGTGTGTACTGATAAGGCGTCTCTGGATGTTCTTAGTATATCATCCATCGCATTTTCTAATGAATATTCTTTCAGTTAGTTTGCATGCCGTGTGAATAATTATGTGCCATTGCAACAGGAAAACTTTGTGCGCCTAAGTCTTGCTCAATATCGTAAGTGTTGTGGAAGTCTAGATCATGTCAGATACTATCTTTTTTCTCGATTTTATGCGCAAAAACGCACTTTTTGGTGTCCAACCTTGTCACTAAGGCTGATACTTATTTAACTAAGCCTGAGACATTAACTCGGAATTTGCCAAAAGCTAACTATCTTGAGACAAAATTTAGCTCTAGTGACATGGATGGCAACACCTCGTACGTATCAAAGGAGAAGTATACGGCTCTCGCCAATGAAGTAGAAACACTGTTCCCGATTTGACATCCTTCTGCCTAGATACGAAAATGGGAGGATGATTTGTGGCACACTAGGCGCCAGAAAAGCCGACCACGAGTTTCTGGTAGCGCTGACAAGACACCTGATGGTGCTTCAAAAAAGAGCCATTTCAGAGTAAGTTTGGTGATTATTAAAAGTGACCAAATTTTCTTCAGGAAAGTCTTTCATCTGTCACACCGGCCCACGTCTCATCGTTACGGCAATTTTGGGAGGGTCTTATGAGCAAAGAAACTCTAAATACGGTCACTGAAAGACCTCCACTCCGACCAATTCAGGTTCTTTACCCTGTATTCACCCGCGTTTTGACGACTCGGCTCAATTGACTAATTGCATTTTCTTTTTCAGCCGCCTACTTTTTCTTTAGAAAAACGTGGGATGCCTGATGTTGGCGGAGTCCCAGCTTGCAACGTAATTCACACAAATTTTTTTATGCGGTGGAATAAGCGATCTGTCCCAGCCATAATCGTAAATGATTTGCCTTTGTTGTAGGAAAATTTGCTGATGGAATCTATTGATGTCGGGATCCCTGAACTACCGGTGAATAGCTTATGACGTTAAATCAAAGTTGAGGCGATTCTCATAAATGTGGTTCCCACGTTCCTTTGTTATCTTTTTAGCCGCCTCCTGTTGGAATCGAGGAACCACTGGCCCCCACAGCGGACATTCTAGCGGATTTGCCACCACCACCTCTACTTCCAGATGTGGAGGAAGGTGTCCGCTCCAAATCGGCCGGTTTTATCGACCTCTCGAAATCTCCTAAACGCGAATACTTTGGTGAGTTCATGCTAATTTGCACCCATTCTTGGCACGTTCGCTACCAACCTTACATGTACGGCGCCTCACTCTTATTTAAGTCCGGCGTGGCACAACTGGTCATCATAAACAAATGGCGAATACAGGTCTTGCGTCTTAAGCGGACCAAAGGAGTTGAAAGTAATAGATGAAGATGATTACATGTCCGTATCCGGGTAGGGGCTGAAATGGTACAGAAATGGTGGCAGTTGGCGTCTTATCAGAATACCAAACCGTGTGAGCTGGAGCGGTCGAAGTGAGATTGTAAGTGGTCGTTGACAAGCGATTAATCCTAACCGCACTGCCTTTCGCACGTCTACGCACTACCACTTTTGCCTACCGCTAGGGTTATCGACTCGGGGTGTCTTACAACATGAACGCCAGCTATGAGTAACAGGAAGTACCTGCTGCTTACTGCTGCATGCGGTATTGTTGCGATGTTGGGCATAATCAAAAGTCCCCTCGCAGTTAGTTTTCCACTGACTCCGCTTTCAACTACTATCGCTTTAAATCACAAAGTGGTGTGGTAGAGGCCTGATAGCTTGCTCCAAATTTGAACACCGTTCTATATTCTTGGGACGTACAAATAATCTGGTTCCACATTAAGCCCAACTTTTAAGGCTTGCGGTTAACTCTTGAGACAACTAGTTCTAAATTAGCTAAAGGGTTCAGTTCGTAAGTGGTCTTCCCAAAACTCGTCTTTCTTCCCCTATTCTGACTTAAAAGCCAATTATTTCTACTTTTTTTTCATGATTTGTTGCTTATTTTCCGGTAGAGGTCAAATAAGCATCCAGTAACTTACATGTGGATTTGAAAGACACAGATCAGCAAAGGTTGCACGCTGATCGTCCCTTAGATTTTAACCAGCATGATGAAGAGGCGTGTCAACTCGTCTTTTTAGTTGAAATGGCGTACTGTTGAAATGTCATCCTCTTCAGATTGAAAAACTAGTGCAGTTGAAGAAGCGCACGAAACAGTGGTCTTTGAATTAACTCTTCGCCTTGCAGTTCCCGAGTGTCCAAGCACCACCCAGCCAGTATTCCCGCACCGTTACTACAGTCGACCACGACTCGGTGCCTACACAAACAGTGCCGGCGGTGGTTTAAGTCGCGGCGTTCTCCGCAACTGGCCGAACTGCAGCAACCTCAATGAGAGTCCTCCAATGGAGGCAGCCAACGCGCAGCTGCCACGCCAGCGCTCTGTCACCTTTGAATCGAAGCCAGGCTCCGCTCCTGGTGATTCGGAGGTAGAGATTGAAGGGGAGGTACCCAATGTGAGTAGCGCTGCCTCTTCCGCCCCTAACTCTTCCTCACGAGGGCACAGTTCCGTCCCTAACGATCCTGGAGAAAGGTACAAGTATGTGGATGGAGGTGAGAGAGAGGATAGATATGTTCTTATTAGATTTAGTGCAGGGAGATTTGTGCTGCATATTGTCTAGCCTATTTGGAGAGATATCGACATCTATTTTTGGTGTAAAAACTGTTCATTTTGAATGCTCCTGGCCTTTGATGCTATGCGGATTGATGTACACACTCTCCACATACTGCGTTCTTGTCTTAATGTCATTAAAGAAATATTTTATTTTAGGATTATTTGTTTTTTATCCTCAAATATTAGTAATGCCTTAACACCCAAGGAGGGTCTTCCGCTTTTAATCATTCTTGCAAATAGTTCCGATGTTTTGTTTCCGAAAGGTATTTTTTTTGTGGAATAATAGATTCAACCTCTACTTCCATTGGGAATGCAGCCACTCATTTAAGACTTCGAGTAGCCAGAGTAGATTATTTTGATGGTGTCATAATCTTCATACTCGTTTAATACCGCTGATTAAAATTTATTCGTATTTATTGTTGTCTGATTCCACCAATATCCCAAAGTCGAATTGATTGATGTTACACCAGTGCTTCCCATAAAGTGGGTCCGATGTCGTAGAAAAACTCATGGACGGAAGGGAGGGGGATGGTAGGTTACATTAAAGGAAAATAAACATCCATTTAGAATCATTTTTATTGTTCACCTTAATCGCTTCCATCCCTTTTCCTAGAAGTATGCGCTTTGCGGCTATGCATACCGACATACCCACCAATTACTGTGAGGATAGGTGAAATGTTCCATTCGTACCGTGTATTGGCACATATTCGAACCTCATGTGTTAATGAACAATTTCGTAGCTCCTTTTTTGCACTCAATGACCGAGTCAATCTCGTGTTGAGTAACAATTGATCTAATCAGGGTCTTGCAAATGTCCTTACTTTTAATCGTCAGCCAAGATTCTCATCCTGTGTTGAGCAAACATTCAGCCCGTACTACATATAATGGCATTAAAAATAGGAATTGGAACTGCCAGCACAAGTTTCTCATCGTTTGGATTGACAGCTGAAAAAAAAAAACATTTGTAAGGTTGAGCAAGTCTCCAGCCAGGAAGGGAAAACCCCCCGATGGGACTCTTGGTATCGAGACAAAAGAAAGGAAATGGAAAGGAAAGGAAAGGCAATTAGTTAAATTGCTTGCAAGGCTGGCATTGTCAAGTCAGGCTCGTAGTACTTGAGCGTAGCCTTTTGAGAGAGGGGATGGATATGGACTATGTGGAACAGATGTAGCGGATTCTCAACTTATAAACTAGTCAATGCTTTTGACTACGCACACGAATTTGTGGTCATTGGTCTTTTTGAAGTGTCGCCGTCAAGGTGTTGCACTTTAATTTTTTCACAAACTTCTCTTTAATAAGTTTAAATAGGATATCGTTTATAAGACTTTAGTGGAAGAACAGTAAACAATGTAAATTCAGCAATGACTTGATCTCCTCTTGCGTAGACTCCTTCGGCATTCTGGAAAGTGCCGCTCGTCTTGCCAACTCCGCGGATCGTCTCAATCGAAATTGTTGCCGTTCTCGGCGCTCCTCTTCCGCAGCGGCTGAGAGATCGACATCATCGGCTTCGGATACTGACGAGGTGAGCAGCATGAGTAGCAGCAGTCGTGCAAGTTCGTCTGATGACGACAGTAGCGAAGGTGACTCGGTGAACTCAGAGCCGACCAGCAATCGCCCCTCCTTCACTGCCACAGCCGCGCTCGTCTCACCGTCATCCTCTTCGAGAGGACGAAAGTCGTCGGATGCGCCGCGGCGAATGAGTCGGGAGGCCTCGGCCCTCCTCGACTTCGTTTGCCCACCAACGCCTATCACGAGGGGAGGCCGTCCATCACGTAGCAATACTGGTAGGTGTACGGACAGTGTTGAAATTCTGTACAGTGTGGGGACTCAAGGTCATGCTCGACTACGCAACACGGCATAGCAGTATGCGAGAAGCTTTATTGATAGCTTATGCAAGATGCAGGAGGCTATGGGTATGGTCGGTGGACAATGAAACTGGACTAGATTTTAATCCGTGGGGACTAAAATATCCTTTTACCACACTGATATCATTGACAAAATGGGGTCTTTCATACTGGTGTATGTCAGTTTACACTAGAGACTTAACAACTGATGACTTCGTAATAGCCTTCGTTTCTTCCATTCGAAGAAATCGCCGCGGCGGAGGCAGTCACCTTGCGCAGGTTGGAGCGAATGAAGGACATCGCCGATCTCATCACTCGCGAGAAGTCGTTAATCATGGAACTAAGCACCGAGCTCACCGAACTGCACTCCTCTGCTAAGGCCGTCGCGACTGGCAAATCGGCCAAATCCAGCAGCAGCGCATCTGTTCCTGTTGGCGAAGCTACCCTGATTGATCTTAACCTACGTTTCCTGCTGGCATGTGGGTACCGGATGAAGTCTACTTTTTGGGTCGTTGGTAGTATACTGTCGGTCTAGTTCTAGGCTACGCGTTCTATTAGTTTTGAAATTTTTTTCCAAATGAAATTATGCTTAACGTTTTATAGTAAGCTTGTTAGTAGCATTTTTATGCACGTGAACCTGCTGCCGACTACTGATATCAACCTGACACAGTCGACTGATGTTCCTTGTCATCTGGCTGACATGGCAGTGCCCGAGTTATTGCTGATGGTGTCACGGACCATACCAGCCTGGGAGCACGTTTGTTATAAGCGTAGGGTAGACGTGGTAGTTTAGAAGCGTGGAGGTCGATTTGTGGGCGAATGAACAAGCCCGGGTTAGTTTGAACATTTCCGAGTCACCGGTCTTTCCCCTTGATGGCCAAATGCGTTAAAGCCATCAGCGCTTCAGGTGAAAAATCGTGCGATGATTTTAACTAGAATGAGAAGACGTTAGTTTTCGGACAAAGGTGACATCACCAGTCGTGCTATATTTATGGGCCATAGCGGAGGAAATAATTTGACGCGATTTTCTTGGGGCTAGACGGTGTCCTACAGCGGGCCCTTTTATTGTCAGTTGGTGGAGCATTCTCCTTGAAGCGAAACCATGATGCAGGATAATGTGAAACGACTTTACAGGGCCATGCCTGCCATGCGTCCCTCCTTTCCACTTTGCAGCCCATCCGGTTGAATGGGTTACTACCAGTGGCGTGGAACAAAAGCCGGTAGTAGTTCCCAATGCCATTCCTGACTCACGCAAATTCTGTAATCATTTGCATGACGCACGGCTTTTGGACCACTGAAAGTGAGTGCCACTGTCAGTGGTCAGCTTCCTGAACTTGATAATGTGGACAGCTGTCAGTGGTTGGCGTAGTTTCAGTAGTTCTCGACAGACGTCATGGAAGTTGCGGGTCTGCTAGGAGGGAATCATCAGAGTCCTCTCTCAGGCCTTGGTAAAGGACACGCCTAGGTGGCGCATAAGTGGGAATGCGCAGGAATGGTGAGCTGGTGGCATAAATGATATGTACGGATCTTCATGCCACTGAGGATGGTAAATTAAATGTATGAGTAATGAGATCTTGGATAACTACCCTGCAATTGAGGTATTGATCAGTTGTGTTCTGTGGTCTCAGGTAATTGGTTTCTACTCGTGAATCATTAGTAGCCATCACTCCCTAATACGTGCAATCTTCAGGTCAGCGACGGCAGGCATTGTTAGAGGAGCTGGCTCTACTGCACAAGGGTTCACCGGTGATGGTGCCGCCGATGCGTGGAGAGCCGTTGCGGGCGCGGTTGCAACTACATGCTGTTCGGGTGGCGCTGAAGCCACTTCTCCCTGGCGGTAGTAGTGGTAGCGGTGGCGGCTATGTGGTCGTTGGAGTGGGTGAGAGGCTACGGACTGTGGATGGTGGGCGACCAGTGAAGTATCACATCCTTGCCGTACTCAAGTCAGTGTCCCCTCTTTTGATTAGGTGTATCTGAGTGACAAAAGTATCGGTTGATTTACTCAGATGCATTTATTCGGTCTGAAATTATCTAGAAACCATTCATCCACCCAGTCTTGCTTTGCCGTTGTTACCGTACCGGATCCATCGGTTCATTAGTTCTTACTGCACTTGTCTATCATTCCACATTGCATCTGCTTGCAATCTATTAATCGTTCATAAGTTTGCCTCCGGCCATGTTTACAGCACCTGTACATTCACTCACCCTTGACACTTCCATCCGAATATTCATTCAGTCATCTATGCAACACCCATCTATCTGAATCAGAAGCATCTGTCTATCTATTCCACACTCATCCGTCCTCCTTCTCCCCTTTGTTCACAGATCCTTCCATCTATCCAGCGTTGATTGAACCTTTTGGAGCCTATCGCTGGATCACCCATCTAGAAAGTGTGGGAGGATGAATATCCGATTCACTCTTTTCTCAATTTCGGATCGCTTAATTACTTTTGAATCTACCGATGATTTTGTCATTGATCTGTTCTTTGTTTCCTTAACAGATGCGTTGGTGAAGGGAGGATCTACCACACCCAGACGGTGACACTCATGCGGGTGGCTGATCTTCCAGCTGGTACTGTTCGGGGCGCCGCTTTCGTCGATCTCCTCGCGGATATTGATGTGAGTGTGCCGATTTCCCCCTCTGGAGTCATTTTCAGTTACATCACACAATCTATCCTGTTGTAAAGGGGTTTGTCTGAGTGAACTAAATGTCATGTTTACTCACACTGGCTGTTGATCCTCTCTTTCCCCTGTGTAGATCGTGCCCCTGCGTCCAGACTTTGTCATTAACATCGAGGTCTACTGCCTGCAGACGGGTGGCAGTGGGGGTATTGGTAGTAGTGGCGGTCGTGGTACCTCAACGGATCGCCAGCAGTCTTCAGGTCTCCAGACGCCGGTGTCGAGAAGAACTAACATCTCAATTATGGAGAAATCGCCTATCATTTCATCTGCTAAGAAGTGCGGTGGGTTGCATATGTCTTCCTTGCTGCTCTCATCGAAAAAGAGGAAGTACTACGTTTCACAACCAAAGGAAGATATAGATTTGTCTGCTGGTGAGCAAGATACCTTGCTGGGTAGTCTTTTGAGCGGAGATTCAATCACGGATGTGATTGTTGTATTCTCTCTTGAAATTTCATAGAGAGGTGATAGCGTGAGTTACCTTTCGAGATGATTTAACATTAGGTTGTGTGAAGAACTATGTGATCTGGCCAGCAATGATGTCGTGGAACGTAACCATAAAAGCAGTGGATTCTCTTAACCTACCCTGTGTTGTTCCTAGTTCTCCAAATTACTGCACTGCGGTCCACGTGAGTTGCAGTCGCACGTGAAATCGTGGCGAGGGTGGTGGCAGTGGTGGTGTCGATATTATTAAATAACAGTGGTGCTATTACCCAGACAATGCTAAACCTTATTTACCAAACATTTGTGTCTGTCGTTTGGGCTACCCTTTGAGCCCAGTCAAGAAGTAGCTTTGCCGGTGCCTAGAAGGAATAGGGAACTAGTAGCATAGACGGTGTGACCGGAGTGGTGCTTCTAGCGTGGTGACTGAAGTGGGTGTGGAACCGCATTGTCAATTACAGTGAAAATATTACCCTGCAGTCGCATATCACTAGTCGTGTCACTGTATTTACGGATGGTTTATGGGTTCATCACCACCTAACCAATTGCAAGGGCTTCAATTTAGATAAAAATATTTAACATTTACAAATTATAATGTTGGTAAGTGAAAAGCGAAATAAATGATAGGTGGAGTATCTCACTCACTAGTCAACATATCGGATAGATCCGGACACGCATCCATGAAAGTTGCCACTTTCTGTTCGTACACAGCCTTCACTCTGCTCTCCTCGGTGAGTCTTCGTCATCACGACGATCTTCTGTTCGGTCGACTGCCGCGTGCCAGGCCTGGCGGTGTAGGAGGAGTCGGGGATGGGAACAGCACAGTGGGTGCATACGCGTTTGCAGCAGCAGAGGGGCAGGAGACGGGTGAAGTGGCTGGTGGAGGGGACCATGTAGAGATGCCACTGTACCTGGACGGGCTTCCTCGATCTTCCCCACTTGCCGGCCCACTCGGCTTCGTCGACATTACGGTACGGCTACAATCTGCGGTCCTCAAACGGGGGTTTTTGGTGAGTTGCCGGCTCATTCTCCATCATCGGTTAATCTCGTTATAGAGGTGTTTTCCACAATTTGATGTACCATTAAGACTCGAGGTTTGATTGAATTAATTTGCGATGGAGCAGGCTATGGAAACCACAACAGCTGTCATCAGAATGTGCATAAGACGCGATGGAGTGCGGTTACTCGAATTGTGCACGCCCAACCACAGTTGACAATGACTTTGTCAGCATCTTAACAGTTATTAGTTTGCACCATTCACTAGCACATAAATTTGACTGACCTTTTGGCCATTACTGGCGAATTCTCCTTTGGGATATTACTTGCGTGTATACTGTGATGAGGCAGATGTAACTTTCAACTTTTGATTTGGTTTCCATA